GGCATGCGTTTCGCTCGGAAAATCGGAGCATCTGAAACAGAACCCAGAATCCATTTCAATCACATTGTGATTGTAATGCCAATATCAAGTTCGCAGAACGACAGCAATTTGCCGAATTGTTCGGTGTGCCTTGAGTGCCATCTGAATAAATGCACTCGGCTTGCTAAATGGGCTTGGCAAATGCTGCCTGCCACAAGATGGTTTTCACAGATATTAGACTTCGATGAGTTAGCCACAAATCCACAAATACGAATCGAAATAAATCTCTGGCGTGCATAGGACATGTTTGAAGGGCTTCTGACAAAATCAGCACGAGGTGAAAGGGTTCGAGCCATAACAATAACCTGGGGAATCCAATGCAAATATCATCTCCTAGGACAGCAGTTGAGTGCCCTGGCTAAATGTTTGATTTTGCGGTTGAGATACTTTGTTGGTCAGCCGCTCGAGCATTAGGAATTATTATTTCTGGTCCAGCTCCCTTCGCCTTTGGCTGCTGCCACAGAGGTAAACATTTCGAAATTAAAACTGAAACAAATAGCAAATAATAAAGGAAGTTGCGGTTTTTGCTACCGTTTGTTGTTTGAGTGCTAATGAGCTTTTGGCTTTATTAAATCAACAAAAAACCAGATAGAAAGGCGCCCAGTGGCAACTGAAATCCAGAAACTATATGAATCCGTAGCTGTGTTAGTTTTTGGCCCAGAGCGAGTAAATGGAGTGGTATTTCTAGTGGTGGAGTCAATTATTTTTGTAAACATTTAGGGCGAGCGAGGCAAGCTCAAATAATACTTGGGAATAAATAGTGGAGTGACCGATCCAGTTTACTTGGGCGAATGCAAATTGAGTGGAGGATGCTCCACAGTGGATTCAAATGGGTGAAAAATGCCAAATCTCAATGGCTGATGTACAAGCAATCAAGTTGGAGAAGCGACTAGAAAAATGTGTAAAACCAAAAGATAGTAATATCGAATTTGTTAATGGAAGAGGCACTCACTAATGCAAAAGTCAGATAACACACTCGTGATAAAGTTACCACTACATTACCCTCCCATCAAAAGAGCATCAGCATAAAGCGGACCCATCCAAGATTCAATTCGACAGAACCCGGCGATAGGAGACGTTAACAAAGCCGTCCACACGAGCCAATTTGCGGCTGCCCCCCTCGCCACAGAGAAACGGGGCACCACTGACCTGCACCACCCATTCGGCACCACCCAGCCAGCACCACCCACTGCAGCACCCAACCACTTCACGTGGACCCGTAAAATTGCGGCAACTTCAACTCATTAAAAGTGGAGAGCTGGCAAAAAGTTCAGAGAGCCCGCAGCACGTTTCACAGAATGTGGATGTTTTTTGGACGATTCCCCCAATGCGAAATGCAATTAGATGTCACCTGAATATCTGCTGCGTCCTTTGGTGATGCATAAATTAGCAGCAGGGCCGCAGCTCAACAACAACAATTATGTAGAAAGTTGTCCACTAAAATGAAGCATTAAATTTGATGGCGGCAACTTTTTAATTGTCTGCGATAATTCAAACAACAGGCGAAACAGATGAATTCCAGGTGCCGAAAATGGCTGGCACAAAATTCTTCCGGTTGTGTTTTGCATTTAACAGAAATTAACTTTTTCGGGCATTGTGTGGGCCCTTTGATAACAAAAGTATTGCTCCTTATTAAGTCTGAATGTTGGTCTGCCTAATATTTGCAGGTCTGATAGGAAAAACAACCATTGCAAAGCCAAAACAACCTGAAGTAGTACACAGATAGTAAAAGTGTTTGCGATGTGTCTACAAAGGCACATGTTATTCTATTATTAGCGAGAAATAAAGTCGTGTGGCCCTGACTTTGATTGACTGGTTTCCAGCGAAGGACTTGCGAGTCCTGTTGGCTGCCACTAGTTGCCAAGCTACATGGGTGCAGTCTGCAATGTTGCAAGTTCGTAGCCGTGAACCTGACTGAATTAACTTAAAGTGGCATGGAGCCAAATTGGAAGGACTCCACGCCAAGGAATTAACCGCCACTTTGAGACCTCGTCGCCTAATTAGGTACTTGTCCAACGGGTTGAGTCCTTGAACCGACGACACTTTGCATGGAAAATGCTTATGTGACTTCACCTCACCTCGTGGGAAGCCAGCATGTGAGTTGTCTGATGTCTATACTCTTGTCGCATGAATATCCACTAGTTTACTTCTTGTTTTACAGGGCCACAAATTCATAGTTTCATTTTATATTTAAGCACTTTCATTGTGCCATTGCTTATTAACCTACAACAAGATTACCAACGGGCTAACTTAACATTTACATCTCTGTAGCGGTGGTATAAATGGAATAAGGGATTTATTGGAGAGAGTTGGAGTTGTAGTTTTAAAGCTATCAAAGCTTGAACATCTATTTATTTGCAAGTACTTCTTGCTTTAATTTTTTGTATTTTCAATGGCAATTTTACTAAGTTAATTGGAAAGAGTTAAAGTTGTAGTTTTAAAACTATTAAAGCTTGAAAATCTATTTGTTTGCAAGTACTTTTTGCTTTAATTTTTTTTTTATTTTCAATGGCAATTTTACTAAGTTAATTGGAAAGAGTTAAAGTTGTAGTTTTAAAACTATCAAAGCTTGAAAATCTATTTGTTTGCAAGTACTTTTTGCTTTAATTTTTTGTATTTTCAATGGCAATTTCACTAAAAATGTCATGTTCAAAAACTGAAAGATAAGGGGCAGTTGAAATCCAATCACAACTATGTATTTACTTCTATGCTCATTAGGGCTTTCCTAGCAAGGGTTGTGTGCCTTTTGTCTCGTGCTCGTCTAGACTAATTAATAATATTTCGTGCCAAGCGCTAAGTTACACAAAAGCTGCCAGCGAAAGGCGGCAAATATCAGCAACAATAAGCAAAATAAATTCGCAGGCATTTGTTTCATGTTAAAATGGGCAAAAAATTGGAAACTGAGCCGCCAACTGAAAAAGCCCTCATTGTCTCCTGGGCCCACGCAAACTGAGATTAATACGCAGATTACGGCCAAGTTATAATTACTGGCGTCCCGAAGCGAAAACAGGCGCGTAGAGCTGAGTAAATTGGGCTGTCAAGTGTGCAGATGAAAGGAGATCGTGAAATGGGTTCGATTCGGTTGCTTTGGCTCAAGTCAAAAGTCGAGGTTAAAGGTCTCCATCTCCTGGCGAAAATGCCTTTCTGCAAACATTTGCTCTGCTGCCAAGCGAGTGGGCAGTTACGAAACTGATTTTGGGACAATTCACAGCAACTGCCTTTTGGATTTCCTGGAAGAACAAAAATAAAAGCATGTTTGGTTCGTGCTAAAAAGAGCAGCAGAAAGGGTGCGAAAGGGTTTGATTTTTGTTCGAATTTCGATCAGAAATAGCCGAATTTGCAATGCTAGTGGGCTCCCTTTGATTTGCTAACTAGCTAAGAAACTAGTGGCGAACGTAACCACAACATACAAAAGCTGGCTTGGGTTTGTATTCTTTTACTAGCACACCTAGCATAGAACACTATTAGCTGTAATAAATGTACATTAGGTTAAGCTTTTTAAAGCAATAGTATTTCAAATTAATTCCAAGTGAGACCGTGGAAAATGCGTGTCATCGCCAAGCGAAAAGCGAAACTGAGTACCAATGCCAAGACTAATGGCGTTTTATTTTCGCCAGACTGCGAACTCAATTAGCTGCCGTGCGTAGCGTAATTAAGCTGATGCCACGCCCAATTCGATAACCTGCCACCGCCACCGCCCCCTAAATGATCCAGTTTTATGCCACCTGGCGGCGCCTGGCGCTGTATATGCAAAAACATTACACGAAATGCTTTGGAGCTGGCTTAAATTAATTTATCACGTGCCGAAATAAAGCAACTACCGGTGGCTTCTCCCCCTGCATTTTTCGAGTAATTAATTAAATTCGAGTCGGAGGAGCTCCTAAAAGTTCGCCACGAACTCAAGCCCAAGCAAATATCACTTGCTCCGCTAAAGTTAAAGTTGTTCACTCAAAAATTGAGTTTCTGTTTGCGATTCCAGCGCATGAAGCTATCAGCTTACACATAATGGCCCACTTTCGGGCGCCCATATGCCCTACTTAAGTCCGACTTTCTGGGTAATTATGTCTCCATGTAAGCTCCGGGCAGCATTCGTCACTCAGCTGAGTCTCACCGATTTTCCGATTTTCCTTTCGGCTTTTGCCTTCTATCCGAAAAGAGGGATGTTAAGTATTCATTGGGAAACGCAAGAGAGAATCGGTTGAAGTGGTTGCGGGAAGAGCTCGAAAGGAAACGTTCGTAATTTCAAATTGCATTTTTAAATTTTAAATACTCACCAACGGGGGATGAGTTGCAACCAAAATGCATGGAAAACGTTGCAAAATTTCAATGGCACTTCCAATTTAAGGAAGTATTCCCTTTAAAGCGTAAGCAGGGGCTTTACTAATTCCTCATAAAGTAATAGACCTACATCTCTCAAACCAAGTTATTAGTCATACCAACTTATTTACTGCCCCGCAATCTTTAAAATGACCTTTTTTTTTATTATTTTTGCTAATTTTCAGATTAAGCAGATTAAGTAAAGCCTGTGTTCTGGCTGAAAAGTGCGTATTGAATTTCCTTCGCTGTGGAAAGCGAACGTGATTAAATAGTAAGTGAGGAGTGGCTGGCAGGGAACTAGATTTGCTTTGCAAGTTCAAACAAAAATCTAATTTAAATGGCTAGAAAGTCTGGAGAGATCTGAAGTGAGTTGGGTAGGAAAATGAGGCACGTGTGTCTGTGGACTGCTCATTTCGCTTGTTTACGCATCACATTTGCCATCAAGCATACGCCGAGTGGGCCAGCCAAACATAGAGGGTCAGCGGCGAAATGTGAAACTGGAGCGAACCGCTTACGTAAGTGATTGGACTTAAATGCCGGAAAATGGTTAACTGGCAAGCGTTAAGTCTGCATATCACATCACTGATGTGATCAAGCGTCCATGTCAATTGCAGCGTGCAGCAGCGTATAAATAACTGACCGAGTGCCACAGCCGATCATTCAGCTCCACTCGACAAGATGAACGTATTCCAAGGTTGTGTGCTAGTTCTGCTGGGCCTGGTCCTCAGCTCTGTGGATGCACAGATACCAACCCGCCAGGAAACGAAGGAGGACAAGGCTTGTGGTCCAGGCCGATACTACAGCTACGCACGGCACACTTGCCTGCCGTTCTAGTGCTGTGTCCAACGTTTTGCATATCTATAGAAGTCAAAAATGTAGATAATAAATGCACTGCAACTAAATACTACATGTGTTGGTGATCGGCAAAAGAGAGTGAACAAGCGAAAGCGCTGTAGCCGAGTGCCTGACTATCAGATACCCATTGCGCAGCCAAAGTGGTTGTAGGTCGCATTCATAAAATGCCATTTACAGGACTACTTACTTCTAGCACCCATCGGCCTATTCGCGTATTAACTGTGTTTTTTCATTTGCATAGCTTCAGAAAATAACTAGATTTTCCCTTATGAATAAATGGTAAGCTCAATGGGCCATTATTTCAGCGACCTTCAGCAGCTCTGCATCCACAAGGACGTGGGAGGGCTTTCTTGAATGCACAACCTTATGCCTCCTTCGCTGCTCGTTAATTAATTCACCCCTAAGAAGAACGGCTTCCAGTCCCAGGAAGCCGCAGTACAAGCCAACTTGTTATGGCTTATTAATTTTGCATGCAGCCGCGGCTGCAGTCAGGCCAACGTCATGTAAACATGTGCAGGATTCCACTGGCTTCTGCTCTGTATCCAGGGGATCCTGTGCTGGCAACTGGCAACTGGCAACTGGGAACTGGCAACTGGGAGCTCCTGCCCGGAAAAGACAGCCTGATGGGCCTCTCATCAGGAAGTTTAAGCCTGCTCGAGGCAGATTTATTGCATTTAAATGCGGGCTCTGGATTGCGCCCAATCGGTTAACTGGCCGAGAACACAGATTTAATTTCAAATATTTACTATTATCAGCGGGGAGGCAGTGCAACGTTTTTCTGTGTGCCGCTGGCATAAAAATTATATTTACTGACTGAATGAAAGTTTTCTGCTTGCCTGCTTTATTATTTGTTACGCTCTTGCGTTTAATTCAGTAGCCCATATTTACTTTCCATTCGGTTTCAGTTAAGCTTTTAGATTGCCATTGTAAAGCAAGTTCGATTGAAGCGCTTTGGTGTTTTCACTTTGAATTCTAACTTTTTTCCGCCTTTGTAATAACAATATTTCAATTGCCAAGCATAGTTGTAGGCACACCTCAATTAAATGTATTTGCATGTTGTTCGATTTTGCTTTATGCAGAGTTAACCGAATTATTCATATCATTTAATTAGCATCCTCAATGAGCAAAATATCGCTTATGACTCACAATTAAGCAAAGAGCTAATTAAAATAAATTGTATTCCGCTCGAATATGGTTGTGTTAATACAAACGCAATTGAAACTCTATGATTGCTGAATGAAATTAACAATCCATTTAAGGTTCCACTTGATTGTTCTCTAAGCTCCGCGTAAAATGATTTCAATCCACTGGGCTAAGCTCATCGCGCATATCATTCATCAACCTCAAGTGCCGCCCATAATGTCCGCTTTCGAAAAACAATCCAATATTTAAGCTTCTGTTTTATGGTCATCGACAGAAGTCCAAACATTGGCAGCTATTGTGACAGTTGCTGCCTGTCGCAACTGGCCAACTGGGCAGAATAATAGTCGCTTCTAACCCCTTGCGTCCTGTGGAGTCCTGTGGAGTCCTGTGGATACGTCACAAATGAGTGCGTCGTGCGAGGAGCATCCTGCATTCCCATTTTCCTGAAATACAAACAAAGCATAAATTTTAACGAGCTTGTCAGGCGAAACAGGCGAAACGGGCGGGGCAACAGCCACTTTGTACTGCGATATCGGCGCATCATTATATAATTGACTCCCTGATGCCTGGATGTCGAGCAGTTTATCACTTTGTTGTCGGCGATGCGCAGCTAATAATGCTGATGGCCTCGATACGAGTTGCCTGATTATGGAGATGGGAGGATGCTTATCTGGCTGAGATTCACTGAGTTAAGGTAAGCAGGTCAGCCCGTCTGGGCCTTAAATCGAATTGCATTTATACAATTTTGATTAGACCTGCTAGTCTTAAGCATAAAGTTCGGATCAGTTCATTAAAATTGTGTTTTTAGCTCTCCAGTGCAGCAACTTGAACTTGACATATAAATACTCTGCCTGTGGTCAGGGAATTGCAAAATTTGACTGTTTGTTGTCAGCTGCTTGTTAATGCGAATTTGCTGGCTTTAATCAAATTTATAATGTACACACATGGCCTGTTAAAAAATTCATGTTTCCCTAACGCAGATGTGCAAATGGAGTGTGCTGAATTTATTGAAAAAATGTGCACCAAAACTGAAACCCTTACACAAGGCAGTCATTTTTCATCTGAAGTGACGTTGATTGGTGAAGTGAGTTCAGCCGAGGTCAAGTGCCTACTTCCTATAGTACTGCTCAACCTTCAAATATTACATCCCAGCCGCCTTTGTGGCTTGCCTTAGCCAAAATACATATATTTTTTGAGTTAAGCCACAAAAATATGTTCTTTTTACCACACGCTTGCCTCTCTTCCCTCGAGCTCGCAACTTTTCCCAGCAAATATTTGGGCTGTGAACCTGCCGCAAAGTTTTCCCTGTGACAAGACCATGAGCACATATCAAGAAGCCTCGCCGTGTGTCGGCAGATATCAAACAACGTGACTTGCCAACGGTTCTCGAGTCCTTGTTGATATTCAAGCGCTTAAATTGATTACGCAATCTTTCAGTCCTTATTCCTTGTAATTATACCCTCACCAAGGGCCAACCCTCTTAGATCGACGAGGTTAAGCTTCCGAATTGTAACCAATAATTTTTAAAAATACAGTAAATTATTTTTAAATTACTGGGTTTCTGTAAAACTTTTTGCATACAATTTTGCCGATACACTTAAAGGGTATTTTAAAGTTTTTGCGAGTCCTAATTAAGTTTTTTGCTCTTCATATCGGAAATCGGAAATTTAATCCGTTTACTTGGCAATTTGGGCGGATGTTTGTTGTAGATTCTTTGGTTTGCGGCTCAATCATTTTAATGGCAGACTCGTGTTAGGCCTTGTTGGAAATTCACTTCATGGATACACCCACTCGTGCACCCATTGCTACCAGGACACGTCGTGAATCCTTTGCGGGTTTCGCTGCCACCAACAATAGCCATAAATCGACAATTTCAGTTTGATTTTTCGTTGTTGTCTTTGCGCAACATTAAAAATTAATTAAGCTGTGAAAAAAGCACACGAGTATAAATGAAAAGCAAACAGCATTTCGGTATTTGCCTCACTGCGGAAATTCAGTTAATTGATCCGTTCACGCTTTGTTAAATATTTAATTTGCTTAAACTGCACTTTTAATGGTAAGTACGCTTAATTTCAGAGCGCCGAACAAATAATCTAATATGCAACATAATTTAAAAGTGTACGTAGTGTCACACAATTAAAACGCAACGCGCTAAACACTCAAAAGTATTTCCGTGTACTTCAATTCAAAAAATGTATAATTTTCATTAAGATTGCTCGATATGCCTAATTTTAATATACATTTTTCCTAATTTATGACAATAAATAGGATATTTTAAAAGCAATCTTAATGCATTTTGCAAATTGCCGTGTCAACGTTAGTGTTATTTATCATCTTTCGGCGATGTCATTAAACCTATGACGGATTCCGTGCACAATGGAACCGAGGACTTAAAATATGCTCAGATAAAATGTGCTCAGCTATTTGAGTTGTGAATACGTATACGCCCCGTATGCGCTCCACTTTCGCGTGGCAAACTTTAAATGAAGAAAGCAAACGAGAAAAGGCAGCCTAGTCCTGCATGCGACATCCAAAGCTCGTGGGGCGGAAAATCCATTTATCATATGTCTGCTGTCTGTATGCGAATGTTTTTTTACGACTGAAAAAGTAACGAAAGACACTTGATGCGCGATATTTACATGACAAAAACTAGCGGCAGGTGCATGAAATAAATGATGACTCCACAGTTGGCATACCGATGGCACCGAGAGCCTCGAACGCGTCATATTCAAATTACTTTCGCCTCGAGTATCTATAAGTGTGGCCATGGTGTAGACAGTGTTTCCGATATCACATATACGCGCATGTTTTGACTGTAAATATGTATGTTTCTGCTCCCTCTGCTTGCCGGGAATGCCGCTGATAATAAAGGTCGTGATGATAACGACGATGACGATGCTCTGATCATTTGTGTTCTCTATGTGTTCATGGGTGCGTGAAAGTCAGCCACGATACGAGGGCAATGACAAGGATTTACCGGGTTGAATGGGCCCTCGGGATAATACGCTAGTATGAATATTTATGCTGGCGCCTGTTTTTGTTTCTGTTCATCAGGTCTGAGACGAGGCAGCCAATTGAATGATTTACGGCCAGTCGGCCCATAAATTAACCACGTTAAGTGACATTCTCAAGTGGCTGCAGTGGTTTATCTGAAGTAAGCAATGCCTTTACTTGGGGTGCACCGCATTACTTTCATGGTACAAACTTAGAAAATTCGTTACAAAAAAAGAATGGTGCACCAAAAAGATAATTCTAATCATGCCACCATTTCAAAATATATTCCTCAATACAGAAAAAGTATATGTACTACAGTCTTTATTTAACAAATTAATAAAAAAACAATTTCCACAATTTCCATATCACTCAAATACTGGGTATAATTGGTGAAATGTACATATGTTTCAACCTGGCACCCGCAGTTAAAATCGCATAAATCAACACAAAGTTCTGTTGACATGACGACCATGTCAGACCCACCAACTCCTGTCGCCTGTCCGGTTCCGAAGCGATCTGGTTTCGGCTTTGGCCAGAAACCATGTCATACTGGCCAGATTTCCGCCGCAAGCCACACCAACATCCATAGAAAACGTGCAACAAATTCCACAATGAAATCCCAAAATCATTTAAAATGCATTCGCGCAACAGTAACGGCTGTTACTGCGGCTCTTTGAACAAACATGAGCAAATTGTCATTTCCCGTGATATGTTACCCATCATGTCACCAAATATTGAAGTCGATAGCCAAACGGTCCATGTGTTTGTTTTGAAACTACAATTTATATTAGGGTAAAATTGTTGTGAACATAAATTGGAAGGGTAACAATTAAAACAGGGTCAGCCTTTTGGAGTTAATCCAACGTGAAACTTGATAAAATAAACTAATATAAGATGGCATTTGTACAGCCCTATAAAACACCTATCCCTTATACGCTATGAATCGAAATATTTATTTGCTGTTAATGTTTCTAATGTAATTTAACTTCACTCGATAATATCCATTTAATCATTTCCCCACTGCTGACAAGAAATATACGAAATATCAATATAAACAAAAGTATAAAAAATTACTCAACGAAAAGTTTGTGAAAGCAAAAGATTCGGATCCATACTCAATATTGATATGAAACGTCAGTATTTGATTTGCAACCGATGTCCATGTATCATTGCGACGAACCCACGAATTAATTTAATAAAATAATATACGCGTTTTCAAGCTATATATTATTGTTGTTTTGATTAGTATATTTCATTGTTCAACATTTAAAATTAGAGTATACAACAAAATGTAAACATCAAGATAACGTTCATATAAGCAATTCAAAAGGCGACATTGAGGCTAATCAACTCACGTGTGTACCTGTGGATGCTCTAAATACAAAACAAAGTGTATGTGACGTTGTATGTAACCGCAAATAAGAAGAAAGGCTAGAAAATCAGACGAGTCCGAAAAATAAATGCAGCTTTCAGTAGTCAATCAAGCTCACGTCAGATCGGTTCACTGACTATACTTGAAATCTAGACCCTAAATAAATCTATACATATACGAGTATACAGAATGAATCGAGAGTGCTTAATCAGGGTTATTAGCTGCCTTTTGGCAGCCCTCTCCCAAGTTAATTGCCACAGCATTAGTGGTTCAAATGCCACCTTGAATCTACCTGAGATTCGGGGTGACAAGTTCCAGTACTTCGGCTTCGGAAGCAATATGCTGATCCGGAGGATCCACATCCAGAATCCATCGGCCGTGAGAGTCGGACCAGCCCTGCTACCCGATTTTCGATTGGACTTCGCCTTGGAATCATCCCGTTGGAACGGTTCTGTGGCGACCATCGTTCCCACCCAGGGTGATCATGTCTGGGGAACCCTCTGGGAGATCGATCTCACTAATCTGCCGGACATAGACGAGTAAGCTAAAGACAACCAGTACGATTCTCATTGCTCAATTTTAATCCGAAATGTTACATGTTGAAAGCATTTAGCAGCATCTATATTTACCAAGGCGGCTTAAGTTACTTCGACTTCTAATACCTCTTATTTATATATTTATCCAGCCAAGAAGGCGTTAGTCTAGGCATTTATGAGCCTCGCACCGTCTACGTGAAGCTCCGTGGTGAATCCGAACCAACTCCTGCCCGTGCTTATCTACTGACCAAGCAGCCAACGAGCAATCTCTACGAACTGCCAAAGGACTCCATTCCCTTATCCCGACAGCCCTCGAAGACATATCTCCAGTGCCTCGTAAAAGGCGCTATCGAGAGCTCCGTCCCGGAGGATTATGTTCAACGATTGAGGAGCATCAAGCATAATGGACGAGCTAACTCCGATATGGAGCGAAAGTTGGACCTGGGGAGTGTAACCCTCTAACTTTTCAGAGCATAAAATAAATGGGTTGATTTTCAGTATAAACACCCTTTAACATAAATTTGATGGATGGTGCCATTTACATTTTTATCAAATATCTAAGATTTCTCAAAACTTGTATAAATTCAGCCAAGTAATACAATACTAATGAAACTAAACTCTTGTAACTTGATTGAAAAGTTACTCCCATAGCATTTTCATTTATTAAGAAATATCTACAGAATAACAAAATTTTGGAATGGAGTCAGTCTTTTCATATATTGTATTTTCATTTTAAAGTTTTATCAGCTCACATTGCTTTGTAGGTAACTTACAATTGTAATGAGTAATAAAACAAGAAAACGGACATTTTATTATTTTTATATTTTCTTGATAAGCATCCCCAGAAAAGTTATTTATTTAATGAATTCCTAATTGTCCGTCTAAGGTGTCCCCACTGCACAGATCAAATATAAAAGTTTTACATTCACAACTAGGTTCACCTATTTAGTTCCCTGTAGGCTGTTCCCAGTCATTTATTTAGTTTCGAACCACTTATCAAATACACCACAAGAAAACTCAAAGAACTTGAAGCATTTCAAACTAAACTGCAAGAACTAAAAATATATGTTTTATATAAAGCGATTATAGACGATAATTAATTAATAATAATTGGATTAATTTTTAAAACCTTTCAATGTATATATCTTTGATTTATTTGCAAAAAGGTCATTGTTTAGTGTTAAAGCTAAATAATGAAAAAAAAAATATATTTGTAATTACAAAGCCTTCGGCGCATCTCCATCCCTATAATCGAGAATTTAGACAAAGCGGCTGCAATCTGTTTACCCACGTTATCGATAGGAAATTTGGCGAACAGTGTAGTTCTACAAAGCGATGTTATCATTTTGTCAGTCACATTTCACTTCAATCTGTCCGTCCGTCTTAAAAGTGTACACAGAATTCAGGGTTGACGTGTTATATTTTCATGAAATTTAAAGTAAGTGCCATAATAACGACTTTTTGTGTGTAAAATTGGTGTAAGAATGCCAAGTGGTATAGAAATAAAAATAAAAATTATTCCAGGGAACAGCTGATTTGATTTACGATTTAAAAGCTCAGCTACTATAAGCTTTTCTAACAGCTGGACTGTTCAATTTGTTATCGACATGAAGACAATAGTAAAAGTAGAGTTTTTATTTCATTAAATTTGTATACTACACTTATTCTAATCATTTTGTTTTGTGAAATGTTTTAATTCTAATATTAAAAATTGCTGCAATAAAAGGGCAAAGCTTTACATTTTAATTGCTCTATCCAATACATCAACCATTATAAAGACTGCTTGCCGTTCTTGCCAGACAAGCAGTTCAATGTTTTAGATGCACTGTCTTACCAACGGCCTGTGCTATCAAAACTGTACCAATTACTCGTAGAGTAAAAGGGTATACTAGATTCGTTGTAAGTGTCCCTCCCACAATTATGAAACATTTTTTTATTTATTCAAATTATTAATATAATACTTAATACACATACTTTTACTCTATTTTAATTCCATTTTCAGGTACACCTGCTTACTACTATGGGAACTAAATTCTTTTATTTCGGTTTCGGTAGCAATATGCTAGCCAGTCGGATTCATATACAAAATCCAACTGCAAAGAGGATTGGTGTCGGTAAATTAGAGGTAAGAGGTAAATATTGGTGTTTTAAGTTAAACTTGTTTATACCCAACATGACATCTTTGCCACGCTAATAAAACAAACTGTCGATGATAGAATATCGAATATTTGTGAGTTGTGTTGCTAAAAGTTGTATATGTATAACACAATGAAATTATTTATGGAATATTATTCGTAGAACTACAGGCTAGACTTTCACACAGGATCGAAGAATTGGCTGGGCGCTCCTGCTACAATTGTACCCACTCCAGGATCACATGTGTACGGAGCCATTTGGGAGATTGACATGTGCAACCTAAAGGATTTGGATGAGTAGGTCTCGCACCGTTGTTTTTAAAATATTAAATGTGCCATGTTTCTTAGCCAGGAGAGTGTGCCCGATGGCGTCTATACTCCGATTAGTGTGCCCGTTCACCCATTGAACACTGATACAAGCATCACCTGTCGTGCCTATCACTTGACCAATCAGCCCCAAACAGACCTCCATGCTGGAGGTGGCCAGGAAGTCATTCCACTCGACCGCCAGCCTTCGCAAACGTACCTGAAAGTTTTGGTAAAAGGAGCTACGGAATCCGGAGTCCCGGAGGATTACATCAAATGGCTGAGGGGCATCAAGCACAATGGCAAAGAAGTGGCAGCTATGGAGGCAAAACTGGAATTGGATAAAGTGCAACTTGGCTGATCAGATAAATATAACAATCATGATTTCTTATGGTTAAATGTATTAAAACGAAGACCCCTCATTATATATTTTTGAATTATAAAAAAATTATAAAGAAAGCATTACTTTTACTTCTCCTTGACTTCCTTAAAATTTCCAGAAATCTTTACCAAGACTTTGATTACCGGGCCCCAGAAAAATGCTTTTGTCGCAAAGCTGAATTTAATTAATTTGAATCACTTATTTATGATGATTGCCAATTTCCCGTCTGCACCCCATTCAGAAAATGGCCGAAAATTTTCTCGGGAAAAGGAAAACAAAAGTTTTGAGTTTTGCCCATCGACTGGCTCTCGCCAAAAGTGCAATTAAAGTGCAATTTAGTGAGCACTCCAGGAAAAAGACGCTGCTCCTGATGATGATGTTCCACGAGGCTAACGAAGCTTATCCAACAGGGCGATCCCGTCTGCTGTCTTATTAATTTAAATTTGAAGTTTTCGGCTATGGCTGAGAATGGGACTGAGGCACTCCTGTTCAGAGTCCTTTTAGCACCTTTCGCTGCTGCACATTTGCATATTGTTCGGGGAAAAGCTTTTGGCCACTTGGCGTCCAACTTGTGTGTGCCAGAGTAATAATAAACATAATTTCCTATTTCTGGCAAACTTCCCTCTGTATACCTTACACCAAGAAAAACAATCCCGATTGTTATAATACATATTCAGTAGAATATTCGGAGAGATTCACTTGTTTGTGCTTTAAAATGAGATGTATATTAAAATAAATGTTAAAAAAAGGTTTGGCAGAGATTTGTTTTATGACTTATTTTTTGTAAGTACAATTTGGTAGCACGAGTGCAGTTAATACTATCACAGTGCAAATTTACTTGCCAGTTAGCAGCTAATTCCAGTTGCACCAACTGGCAGCTGACCCTCGAGCAAAAGTTGTTGTGTAGGTGGCAAATAAGAGTCTGCCCTCCGACTTTAACAAAGTAAAAACTTCGTTTGGAGCTCTTGTTGCGGTTTGTTCACTTTGTGCAGTTGTAAATTAAATTTGCAAACGGTCGGTAGTTTATAATCGTTTGGGAATTGAAATGCAGTCGAGTCGATTTTTAGCCCAAGTCGCAAAACTTCTGCTTCGTTGTCGGCATCTTGGTCAAAGTTTTGGCCCAACATTTTTATTACATTTGTGGCGCCTCCGTCGAGCTGGCAGCTCCGGCTTCGGCTTGGCTTTGAGTTTGAGTGCGATGTGCACTTGTACTCCACTCGTTCTCAACTCGGCCATTAATTATTTAAAATGCTCGGCGCCATAACCATTTAGACGAGTCTCGTTGCTGTAACATGTGCCAATGGCAACACCGACTCCAGGCCACAAAGTAAACGACGACACCAGGATACCAGGACACCAGGACTCCAGGACACCAGGAGCAGGGACACAAATAACGACAAACGCCCTGGTGCTGTTGTAATCATAAAAGTTTACGATTTTAAAAAACAAGCATTGCAATGGTGCTCCTTACACCTTAGTGGACCTGCGCCGTTGGACTATAAAATACTGTGTAAAACAAATAAAACATTAAGCAATTTGGTTTGGATACATCTAGTTACTATGATTAGGAGTCTATAATTTGCATAATTCCCCAATTTTTTGCATACATCTCAAGAAGTTATGTAAGAACAGCCCAAAGCGATTCAGTAGCCAATGTACTCCCGCTGCAGAGCAACCCAAATCAGGCTGACAAGTGACAAACAGCTGCAGAGCAGCGGGCATCGAGGCCACAGGACGAAAGGTCGATGAGGCTCAGCTGCTAGTGGCGCATTCTGCGGGAACGGGAATTTAATTAAAATCAAGCACCCCAACCCCACCGTGCCACACCTTCCGCCGCAGCTCAGCGCGTCGTTTAGTTTCAATCAAAGTAGCGACAAACACTCAAAAAGGACAAAAATTTTACGCAAATTGACAACAGAAGCGACGACAGCGAAAACAAGCGGGAAATGAGGCTGCGCAGCCCAAATGCCATGTCAATAAAAATAAAAACTGTTCCAGAGCGTCCCATCTTGTCAGTTGGTCGTAATTGAAACTCATTAGCGTGCATTTTAGTGGCAAGCCAACCCTTTTTTCGGGGCTTTTCCCTGCTCCATGGCGCTTCTGCCCCTCCCCAGTGGGCGGCTTGCAACACTCTGAGTTGGATCCGGTTTCGGTGGTGGTTATATGTGGTGCGTGCGGTTTATGTGGTAAGTGTGTCATCATTATGACTGCCACCGAGTTTTTTCCCTTTTTTGTTGGACACTTCAGCGTGAGAGTTTGTTCGATGTGGCCACAGGGCTTTTTCATCTTTAAATGCTGGAAAACAATGTGTTCAATGTGAAAAGAGTTGAACAAATGGGCTCAATGTGTACTATTTAAAGGAACCAATTCTAATGTCGTTTACTGCAAAATCTGCAAACAGTACTTACTTGTTGCACGACAACTAACAATATATTTTCAATAAAGAATTCCACCATTTTTTACTTAGTTCATCATCAGCGTCTTTAGGATTTGATACGTACGAGCTACAGTTAAATAAATTAATTTATTAGCTTTACGACCTCAATCAGCTGTTGTAAATCAAACTGCAGACAATCTGAAGAACCCACTATATGCTGTAGTTCCAGAATGGTTCAAGTCGCTTGCACAAAGCGACCACAAATCATCATTAATTGGCTTGTCAGTGGCACAAAGGATTAAAAAGCGCACAAACCGCATCGAGGCGAGTCCAAAACTTCTCTAATTTGACATGAAAACTAAAAAGAACCCACACACCTACCAGAATTCCATCCCCCACCGGAAACCAAATAAATTTTAATTGAAGAACTTGGCTAGTCCCTGTAATTATGCTTCACACACAAGGCGTCAAAGGCCCCACGGGACTGGCGGGGGGTTATGGAAAACTGGGGGAATGGAAAACCTTTTAACGGACCCAAGTGAAATTCAATTTGGCCGCCTAAGAAAATCAGCCAAGAAAAGGAACTGAACTTGATGGCACATTTGCATTTAGTTTCGAACAGTTCAAAGTGTTTAGAAGTTTCCTGCTGTTGGAAAACTATTAATTTCCAAAGCAGAAACACTTTCGATTAGCCGCCGCCTCCTGGGAAAACTGAAAGGAATAAACTTGAGCAGGGGGCCAACTATTCCCCAGGCAATTCTCAGTGGAACTTCGCATGACATTCCATATTATACATATGACATATTGTATTATTCACATGGCAGAAGGTCTTAGCTTCACAGAACTGCTTACCATACTAAAAAAGAAATTTATGTTGGAATGTATAATATTCGTTTGTATACTGGAAAAGAATAATGAAGCGAAAACTGCCGCGGGCTGCGATGCACAAATAAAAGCAAAAAATGCAATCGGAATCTGGGCGCAGACACGCTAATCAAATTAGGCGCAATATTTGGTTTTCATATTCCGGCTTCCGGAGGTGGAGATCGGCTGAAATGCAACCGGCGACTGGCCGCGGGCATTAATTACACTTAAATGCTGACCACATGCCAGGATTCGACAGAGACACAAAGTCAATAACTTGGCCAAGTGCAGCCCTAAGCCCGTTCCACGTGGTCCAAGTCCACTTGGCTTGTCCAATTTCCCTTGAGGCTGCCAACGGCGGCTGCATTTTTGACAAATTCTCTTGACACGCATGCAGTGTCAACAAGGCGTGGCACAAGGGGCGGCGGACTGCGATTAAATCATTAAATTCATACGCTCCACGGGTTGCACTTTTCTCATTTTGCACTGGCGCTTTGTTCAGCTCTGCACTGGACAAATTCGCAAAAAGCTTTTCATTATAGCAAAAATAAGAAATTAATTAATTAGGGCAGGGGAATAACCATCGCCCTAATTACAGCACATGAACTGTTGAGACCCTAATTATTTGTAAAACTTATTTGCAGTGGCATTTATTTTTCCCGGTGCAGTACTACTCCATCTGAGCTTGACCGCCACCCTAGGAGATTGTCACTTGCTGATTATTTGGTTTCCGTTTTCATTAAAATGCACACATCCCTTCGTCCTGCAGCAATGCTTGCACTCCTTTGCCCTTTTAAATGCAATCCCGGGTTTGAGTAAATGCTTTTGGGGCATTTTTTAATTAAACGACATGCAGCGCAGCCTGGATTTTATGTCACCACCTCGCGCCGTGGGCGGCGCTGCAGCTTTTTGTGGCACGTGCAATATGACAAATATTTTAGGCACACAATGCAGTCCGGGAGTGGCTATTGGTGGCTCCAAAGTGGCAAGAAAGTCGCCGGAGTGCTGACCAACGGATGACTAATTCCTGTCACGCTGCTTTCGATTATGGTTCGATTTCTTTACCACATTTAAATAAAAGTGATATTTATACCAGTTACTACAAAAGATTCGTTGAAAAGAACAGACAACATTATTATTAAGACCCCATATAGAAAAAAATGTAATAATTACACTGTTACCAACTTACCCCTTTCAATTCCGTTAAAATCCGGAATGGGACCAGAGAAACTTGATTAATATTTGAGTGCATCATTTTGCCATAATTTTACACCGTTTCGCCGCGTTTCCGCACAAATAGGCGCGCATTGCAAACAGTGCATTAATGTTAAGTTGCACAAGTGAATGAAAAATAAATTTTACATTTTCATTTTGGCAGTTGCGCTTAAAAGCTTTTCCGGCAGCGGCTGAAAGGGTCGAAACGCAGGGCCAAAAGCGTCGTAACCGAAGCTTCGCTGTAGGCCACGGCTGACTTCCTGCCAGATTTCCTGGCCAACCCCCCTGCCCCCCTCCTCGCACACAGCACACTAAATAACCTTGTTAGCGTTTTTAATTAAAGGTGTAAATATTGATATTTACCCATGCAGACCTGTTAAAACCCCTGACGCCGGCGGCTGCTCGCGACTGGCGCGGAAATGCATTTTCGCGAAAAGTCAAATAAACTATGTGGAAATATGAGCTGGTTATTAAATACGGTTACGCGCGGCTTTCGTTTCGCCTTCTGTGCATAAATGTAGTGTTTTCCCGGATTGTGGGAAAACCCAGTGCAGCTTGACATGCAAATAGCGTAGTCAAGCTACAATAAATGTCCCTGTGAGTAA